TGCGTAACAACCTGTTTTAAGTGAAGTTGTGTATTTTTCTATGCAGGATTACATGTTTGCATGTCGTTTGCTGTTTGTCTCATGACCATATACTTTTGAATTTAAAAATGGTTATACCTGCAGTCCGAATGCTCTGTGTGGAGCAGGACCATCAATCCCTCAAGGACCAGACAAGTGACTTTTTTGATCTGACATGCCTGAAACATTTTAGCATCCCTAGTCTTTGGCTGAGGTATTTGAAGAGAGCTGGGTAAATGTATTATGTATCGCTACTTTCAGCTTCTCAGCTCCTCCAGTGGAGCCGCTATGCTGCACGGATCCACCAGGGGCTTCCTAGTGATCAGCCCCACATTAGCATGGATCCCTCAGCTCCCACTCAAGCCTCCAAGCCCTGGATTCCACCTCAGCCCTCCGACCTCATTACTCTCTTGGCTCTACCATGGACACCCTCATCCCTCTGACTTCACCTTGGTGCATCTTGGTGCACCTTGACCCTTCACCCCTCTAGTTACAACATGGCTCCTCCTTTCCTTCAGTTCCTCCATTGTCCTCACTAGCCCCCTCTCAGCCCCGGTCTTCAATGCCTACACGTCGGTTGAAGAATAAATCAGTCTCACTAAGTCCCTCCATTCCGAGAGCCTGCTCTGCTCTGATTGGCCAGATGGCCCAGTCTGTTGTCTACCGTGTACAGCGCCTGTCGGAAGCTACACGGCTATTACCATAACTGGACTATCAGCTTATCAGCCTTGTCTGGAAGCTTCCTACAGGTCAGCAAATTAACTGAAGACAGTCATGATGACACTGATTTTACCATATCAATCTGAGTGCGAGTCCGATGATGAAACATTGGAAGAACTAGTCATTCAAAACGAACCTCGATCACAAGGACGACTCAGTCAGGATGTTTCTCATATGCTGCAAGCTATTATAGATGTTTCAACTGTAATTCCGCACTTCATCAGCATTAACAAGAGTGATTAACAAACCGATGTGTATATTTCTAATATATTTCGGTGCACATACGGGAACTGTATCAACATTAGCCAAACACTAATGTGAATGACTGATGTAACAAACAAATCTGGCTCCATCCTTTATCGTTACTCAAAATAGTGAGAACGACAGATGATCTGCATTAATAGACACAGTTAATAGTGGCCCACAGCTGATTAGCAGAAGTATTTCAGTAAGACAGTTATAACTTGAGTTTTTACTTACATAACTTAGACAATATAACACAGAACTAACTATTTTGAACACCCGGTAGAAAATATATTAATATTCTTACAGGTTGTGATGAGAAAGCTGCAAATAAACTGGGTATTGACCCATCTTTCAAGGGCAAGTATTTTGCAAATCCCGCATTGACCTCAGAGATTTGAAAAGCAGTCGTTAGTGAAATGACGAGTTGTGGGCTGGTCAAGTTGCTCGTGGGCGAACAGCATACAACATAGGGGGATATTATGCAAAAGTATTTTCTAGTGATGTAGAACCGTAAAGCAGTAAGATGCGAATGAAAAAAAACTTGTATTGGCGGTTCAGAGTCGATTTTTATCGTGCACTTTAGACTTTACAACTTTGGAGAACATATACATTCACAAACAGCTATGTCACTGCATAAAAGGGAATATTCAAAAAATCATAATAGGGGCATTTAAATAACCAGAATATGTGGGCATAACGTTTTTCTTCTAAAATAATTGTAGACCATATAGGGTTGAAAATTGGAAAACCATATCATTGGCCTTGCTGCAGTTACATCACATCTATCCCATTAACACAGTCTCATCCCAAAAAGTCATATAACTGACGTCTTGGGACGTCTTTTGACCATACGTCAATATTCGCCTTTTTAGGGCCCCCTTAAACGTCGGTAGATGGCGATCCCGGGCCGTCATACAACTGACGCTTTACCTTTAACGTCAGTTAGGTGACGGGTTAGGTTTAGGGTTAGGTTTAGGTATGGGGTAGAGTTAGGATCCCATAACCTCATCTACCGACGTTTAAGGGGGCCCTAAAAAGGCGAATATTGACGTATGGTCAAAAGACGTCCCAAAACGTCAGTTATATGACGTCTTGGGATGAGACCGGGTTGATCCCATATATGCAAAACTAGTCCATGTCAATGTAGAGACAAGAGAGAAAAGAATTGTTGCCCTGATATCTCATCTGTCTGTTTTTATCTTACAAAATGTGTCCTGTCAACCTTATTCTAAAGTGTCCAAATCCAACATTGTTCTTAGTAAGAATTTGTTTGTTAACTTCACTTAATGTCCAATAATTTGTTGGACTTACTTAAAAATGTCTTCATAATCTCTACTGTTTGCATGCTATGCCTTCGTTACTCAGAAAAACCTTGTAAACATTACTTGACTGGTTTGAGTACCATTTGGTTTGAGTAAGTTTTGGTCAATTTTTTTTTTTTTTCTTCTTCGTGGTCTCTTGTAAGTATAACCCCAATAACGATAGTAAATAAAACTGTAATTGTAAAATAAAGCCAAAAATAGAAAAACAAAGCAATTCATTTATTCATGCCGCAATGGACTCTGGGAGTACACGTCCTCAGATCACAAACAGAATTAAGTTGACAAAAGTAAGAATTTGATGCAATTAAGTTATGCTTACTTTATTTTATTATGCAAACTCGTTCCCTTAGTTTCATTAAGTAAACTGAACTAATAGGCTTTATGCACAACTTACTTCCGCATTCTGTAAAACAGGTCGCATCGCTTCCGGTCCAGATCTTTTGTATGTGCTTCATGAAATTTTTTGCGGTTTTACTCAAGATAACTTAAAAGGAGCGAGTAAAGATTAGCATAACCAATATCCCTCACATGTGCAGATTGATATTTAAACGTTTTATATTTTTCTTCTTCACAGTAACGTTTTGATATTTAAATGGAATAAAACGGCAATAACAAAGTGAACTAGTTAGGTTAGCTGATTACCTTAAAAATCCATAGATATCGTAGTCAGTTCTTACCGCCGTTAACACTTTCTCTGACAAGCGGATGCAATGAGACCCGTTTTCCGGTTTTGTCACGTGACGCTCCGCATAAAGCCTATTGGTTTTTACGTTACCAGTAGCTACTATTCTGTAGCTATTCACACTTCTCTTATTTAAAAAAAAATACAAAAAAAAAACAATGTTCCACTTTTATCAGGGAGATATAGCAAAGGCTTGTATTTGAATTTGACTTCATAATTAAATTCATTTAATTTGTTTTATGTGTTGTTCTCTGACTGTGCACTCACTTTTGATATGAAGCAGCACACTGTTTATAAAATGTTTATAAAGCCTTAACCGAAGTGTTTTAACCTGTAACATTCTGACAAAAATAACAGGTTTTGCATCTTATTTAATTATATTGGCCCCCATTTTGAGCCTCAACAATTTGTTTAACATCCAAACATACGCATGTTTGAATAAATAGCAGTGTGTTGAAAACAAGAATCGCTGACTTTTTGAATTTCCTGGAAAAGAGCTCATTAGAATGTTTCTGGTATCAACATTCTGTGACACTTCAAGAAGAGGAGAAGTTTTCCTATGTGATCATAAACACAGAAGGAGATAGAGAGTAAAGCTTTCAATTAGAGGTGTTGTAACACCCTTTGAGAACTTTCTGCCTCTTGATGATTATTAATGCTGTACTCAAAATGTTTTTGTTTGTTTGTTTGTTTGTTTGTTTGTTTTGTTTTTAATAAATAGAAATAAAAGGATGTTTTGAAAAAGATTGTATGTAATATTTCCAACCATATTTCTGTCATACATTGCGATAACACTTTAGAATACGGTTCCTTCGTTAATGAATAACAAGAACTAATGAGTAACACAATATTAACAATCTAGTAACTATTATTAACTAACAAGAAACTCTGATTAACAAACTAGTAAGTAATAGCGCATAGACGAAAGTGGTAGTTCACTATTAACTAATAAAAAACTACAATTTTTTTAATACTTCCCAGAGAACTACTGAAAAAGTTTATTAACAATCTAGTAACTACTATTAACTAAAATAAATTCTTATTAACGAATTAGTAGCTCACAGATGAAAGTGTTACTAGATACTTCTGTGGGAATTATTTGGATCCGTATTATAAAGTGAAGATCATTGGAACTAACTAGTAATTACTGAAGTGTTACTACATGATCATGATTTGTGCAAACGTTTGAGATTTTTGGTGAACTTTAGTATACTTTTAGAAAATGTCTTTAGTAACACTTGAGTAATTACTATAGTTAGTTCCAATGATCTTCACTTTATAATACGAATCCAAATAATTAGTTATTCCCACAGAAGTATCTAGTAACACTTTCATCTGTGAGCTATTACTTACTAATTCGTTAACAAGAAGTTCTTTTAGTTAATAGTAGTTACTAGATTGTTAATAAACTTTTTCAGTAGTTCTCTGGGAAGTATTAAAAAAATAGTAGTTATTGATTACTTAATAGTGAACTACCACTTTCGTCTGTGTGCTATTACTTACTAGTTCGTTAATCAGAGTTTCTTGTTAGTTAATAATAGGAACCGTATTCTAAAGTGTTACCTAATACTGTATGCATTTGATCCTGTAACATTGTGGCTTCTGCTACACAAAAATAAATGAAAGGAAAAACATGTTACATTTTTTTATAAGAAAAAAATCCAACATAAAAAAATAAGATGTATCTATTCAATTTGTCAAAGTTATATTAAGTTACTTCATAATTCTTTATTTTAGTTTGGCTAGTTACAGTGTGTATCTTTATGTATATGTTGTATTAAATTAGACACCATTGCTTTATGTCATATAGCTTTTCTTAAGTGTTTATCCTCAAGTGTTCACAGTTGATTGCTAAAGACAAAAAATAAACAGAGGACGTCTGATATTTTCCACTGTAAACCACCTGAGCAGATCACCTGACTTTCACATCATCTGAACAAAAACCAGGTGTCTCAGGGCATTACAAAGAGAACAACAAACATACTGTGAACTTACCTTTCAAAGTCTTTATTATGTGAACTGGTGAGGCCATGCTAAAGGTTACTTCAAATGTTGCATGTGCCCATTTTGGCTCTACAAATGTGAATGTCCAGAATGTGGAGAGTGGTAGTAATTCACAGTTTGCAGACCGGACAAATTCTGGCAGACTACGCTCTCGATCTCTTTACAGCTCTGACGAAGCAAAACACTCAACGGGAGAGGCTGACGAGGACAGAAGCCACATTAGACCTCGTTCAAGATCTTTTTATGCTTGTGACACAGATGATGAGGAACCAGGTCATTTTAGCAGAAGCAATGCTATCAGACCAAGAACAAGATCACTACACCGTGAGGAAGGGAAAAGAAACACTGGTGGGATATGTATTTCTGCAAAGCCTCCTATCAAAAGACCTAAAGGACACTCAAGCACATGGGCCAAAAAGGATCTTGCAGGTGCGTAAGTGAGATATTTTTACCTTTAAAAAAAAAAAAAAAAGACATTTAAAGCACAAATGCCAGCATTGACAAAATCATAAATAATCACAATAACACATCTGTGTACAATTAATTTAATTTCCCATTAATTTAGCCATGAAATGCAGCTTTGCCCAACTTTATATCCCCAAATAATGCGTATATGGTTAAAAAATGATCCGGGTGAAAAGTGGGAGCATTTTTTAACTATTATTGTAATGATACTTTATTAATTATACATTTTTTTAAAAAAAAGTTAATTTAGGCATTACAACTTACAATATATACAACGATAAAGCACAAGGAGATTTTAATTTTGAGATTTGTAGAATTAATTGTGAAATTATTCATTTTTAACTGAGTATAAATACAAATAGAAGAAATGAACAATGAACTGACCATGCACATTGGAAAATCCAATATAGTGACAGTTAAAACAATTTTCTAATCTGATGACCGATATTTTACCGATATATATATATATATTGTGAATCCCTAATGCAAAGTCCCAACCTAAAGCAATATCCTACTAAATGATAAAATATTTAGTACACAAGCTCATAGACATTTCAAATGAGAAATTTCTGTAGTGTCAGATGACAAGACACAGTTACAGCAAAAGAAATGAATTATCAGGTCGTTTTTGATCTTTGAACATATTTACATTTGGGTTGAATTTTCTATATTGTTTGGAACATCAATTGTAATATCACTATTATTAAATTCGTATTGCAGTAGGATATTTTTCTCTTTTTTTTACTCTGATCAATTGCTACTTTAATATATCAAAGATAGTGTCACAGCTGATTCTGAAACATGCTTCATTTAAACAGGAAATAAAGGAAGTTTAAAGGGTGTACCCATGATTACCATTTCTGAGGTAGATAACTGGGAGATAAGCTCTTCTGTCAGGATGAAATACGGTCAGTATGTAGACTGGGAAAAGATTTATCCAGAAGCGGCCATCCGTTATCGGAAGATCCTCTCGAGTGACCATAATGAGCTCAAAGCAATGGGCCGTACAGGATTCTGGTCCATGCCTCATACTCTCAGAGCCAAGGCTTATCAACACATCATCCACAACATCGAGAGCACATCCACCAACACTGATGTGGACACATATAATGCCCTAGTCGGGAAGCTCTTTGGGGAATTTCAAACAAGCACACACCCTTTCCCAAAGTTTATGGAGGATGGGGAAATCCCCAGATACTGCCTTAATAAAGCAGGTCTGAATTCAGTGAAAAAAATTCTCATCTGTATAAATCACCATTTTCCTGATGTCACCTTCTGTCCCATCCTGTCCGCTCTGGTGTCCCTTCTCTTGCACTTTAGTGAGGATGAAGCCCAGTGTTTCCACAGTATGTGTTCCCTGGTGACCTACACAGACTCTAAAAAGCGTTACATTGACCACACTTTCCTCACTTCACATGCTTCGTGCATGACCTTTGGTGACCTTGCCAATAAATACTGCAGAGGCATCCGTAAGCTAATAGCCAGCTCTCACCAAAACCTCTTCGAGTTCTACTCTGACTGGATCATGTGGATCTTTGCCGATCTCCCTTTTGCATACGCTATCAGAGTTCTGGATGTCTATCTAATGGAGGGCTACAAAGTTTTGTACCGTGTAGCTCTTGCTCTTCTCAGCCTTTACAAAGTCTCTGTGTCCTCACGAGTGGCCCACGTCGATGACTTCCGACAAGACATGAAGAGTTTTGTGGAGAACGTGGCACGCCACAGTACGATTGACGCACTGCTTGAGAGGGCTTTTAAAATACAGCTGCCCACACGCAACCAACTAACTTATCTCTTCAATGCCAACAAGCACGCACTAATTCATAAGGACATCCACAATAAGAGGTGAGGGGTTTTTTGAGGTCAATAAAAATAAATATATTTTGAGAATTTCAGAATATTCCTATTACATATTAAACTCTATTTTTATCTCCTAGTTCATACCAAGCTATGGATTTTCGGAACTTCAGCTCCTCTGTAGTGACTGAAACCGAGATGAGGGTGGTCTGGGCTTGGATTCCAGAGCGATTCGCTCTATTCAGTCCTGTGCAACTATTCAGTACAAATGCTCATGGCAGAAGTCTCTCCTTGTATGTAATTTCTATACAGACACACTCACATTAATCATTTCTATGAAAATAACATAAAATAATTTTATGGTTTAATCGGATAAAATCATGTTTTTAGAAATGCTTAAAATACATTTAAACTAAAAAAAAAAAAAACATTTATCTGCAATCATCATCATTGTTATTGACAATTTAAATGATAGTTATATTAATTAATAGATTTTATATATTGCATTTCATAATGTTCTTAGTTTTTTGTTTTGTGTTTAGCAAGTGGTTGAAATCCATTAAAACCCATGACCCATAATTTAAATTTAAAAAATAACATTAATTTAATCATAATTAATTGTTATAAATATCAATGAAAAACAATGAATGATAATAAATATTGTTTTTCAAACGCATAAACCTTGAAATATGTCTCTCTTTTTTGGAAAATAGGTTTTATTCCAAAGTTGAGGGGCATGATCCAACCGTTTTACTCTTGAAAACTGCAGATGAAGAGGTATGTTTGTATCCATCTGTACACTTTTAAGAAAAATGATTCAAAACAGAACCAGACAGTTTTCTTCAGCTTGTAGCAATACCAGAAGCCTTTATGGTGCTAAATACATTTTTACAAGGTTCCATAAAGAACCATGCTTTGAACGTGCTATAGACAGTAGAACTGTGTTACAAATAACCTCTTTAATAATAGTTTATTTTCATTAATATTATTCATGTTATATATTATTTATTTGCATCATGAATGTTTCCCTTCTTCTGTCTATCTGGGCTTATGATAATACATTAAACGTACAAATAAAAATTGAAATTGACAATGAACATGTTTAAAAATATAAATAAAACAAAACAAAAAAGAAACACAAAATAAATGAAGTTCCAATGAAATGTCTTCACAATCCTCCCTAGATGTTTTAACGTCTTTAGTTGTGTGCATTTTGATGTTGAGTCAGTTTCCCTCAGATTCTGTAACACACCACAATGTCATCATCTGCTATCTGGGTAGAAATACACAAATTAGTTTAGAGTTGAAGTGTAAATCAAATTAAGTTTATGAAGGCCAAAGGTAGCCATTGTAAATGGACAACATGCGAGCCATTCACAATGTTTAACGTTTTTGTGAGTGGGCATGCTTATTCATAAACACAAGTAATAATATGGATCATTCATTCAATATTGCTTAGTGAAAGAGAGCAGAAAAGTATACTATCCTTAAGTTAACAGAGCTGTCACACATAAAAAAGAAAGAAAAAAAAGAAGAAGAGGAAGAAAGAAAAGAGAAAATTAGTCATGATTAGTAGTTACAGTTTGAGGGTTCAAATGAATAGACACTTTTAAAAGGACATCAAGTATCTTTTAATAGTGTGCTATGACCAATGTTGGGGGTAACGCATTAAGTTGAGTTGCGTAATCAGTTCACTTACGAGAGGTTCTCTCGTACTGTGCAACATCTTACGCTAGGCGAAAACTGCTGCTGCGTCCCAATTCGTATACTATCCGTCCTAAGTAGTATTCGAATATAGAATTAGTACGTCCCAAATCGTAGTATGTTGAAATGAGGGTTCCATAGAGACCCGGATGGTCTACTATGCCCGGTCAGAATCCGAAGTGCAGATCGATGCACACTCTAACGGCTGATATTGCCCAAAACCCATTGCGCGTTGGGCGAGGATTCGGTTAGAACTACAAACACAAGAGAAAAGGTGTTAAAAAACTACAGACATGGAGGACGCGTGAGCAGTGTTGTAGTACTCGAGACTCGGACTCGTCTCGGACTCGGTCTCGAGACCATATTTTAATGGTCTTGGTCTTGTCATGGACTCGTGTCCATTTGGACTCGGAATTGACTCGTACTCGAACATTTCTTGTTCTTATTTCTTTAAATTGATTGACACGCCCAGTGATTGGTGATTTTCTAGTGCGCAACTGCGCATGACAAATTGTAATAAAATTGCTTTTAACACCACCTACTATGTGGCCTTTTTACCCTAAACTGATCACATTTTTTTAACTCTAAGTAAATTCAGTAAAAAAAAAAAAAAGTATTTCTCTAAGTAAATAAAAGTAAATTAGGTTATCAACCCTCACTGGTCTCGGTCTCGACTTGGACTCGACCGTCTCTGGTCTCGGACTCGACTCTCTATGGACTCGGTCTTGACTCGGACTCGACTCTCTCTGGTCTCGGTCTAGACTCGGACTCGAGTGAGGTGGTCTCGACTACAACACTGCGCGTGAGTCCGGCGGTTATGTAGAGAGGTTTAGATAAAGGGGTTTAAGTGATAATTATCAGAATCTAACTTGACGAAAATGTAATTAAATTAGATTGAAATTAAATTAGATTGAATGGAGGATTTTACCTGTGACGAGATGATTGACAGGTCAGTTTACGGTGATAGGATGCACGCGACAGAGCTGTCCATTAAAGATGACGAAGTAGTATGTCCCAAAGCTTGCCTACTCTTTTACTACACACTCAAAAGTATGTACTTTTTCTTCACAAATAGAGTACATACTTTTAGGGCGTAGTATAAGTAGGCGAATTGGGACGCAGTACTATTTTCCACAAGATATTGAAGCCAAACTTTATCCTTAATTTTGAATTAATGAAAACACGTTGCGGCAGCATGCAGACACAGGCAAGACGGCTCGTGTGCCTATTGGCTGTCCTGCGGCAACTGCAGCAGCCTATCGAGAGAGGCCCTTGGTGACGTCAGATCTGTCACGTCCCGCCGAGACAAACGTGGCCTGGGCCTATACATATAGCTTGATGGCTTGATATAATCTGATTTTTCATCCATTCCATCGCACAACCGACTGGATGGGTGTTTCCTGCAAAGGGACCGTGCTCCACCGTCTTTTGCCCGTGCCTTTTCTTCCTGAACTTCATGAAGAAATCGCAAAGTCTTGGAATGCCCCCTTCTCAGCCAGAGTGTGTTCCTCTAACTCAGCAGCATTCTCTGTGGTGGACGGTGCTAAAGAGAGAGGATACTGCTTTCTTCCTCCAGTAGAAGAAGCTGTAGCAGCCCATCTTTTAGCTAAGATGGCGCAACCTTCTAAAGCTTGCTGCACTACTTCCGCTATGAACATCCACGCTTATACCGCTGCTGGGCAGGCTATATTGGCATTACATTTGATGGGCGTAGTGTGGCTCTTCCAAGCCGACCTTCTCCGAAAACTGGATGAGGAAGGAGCGGAAGCTATCAGCGTGCCGGATTTGATGAACCTGGCTCTTTGCAGGCCCACCTCTGGCCCCGCTGTCCGCTCTATGCTCCCCCCCCGTCTTGCTCTTTCCTCAGCTATTGTAACAAATCACTGAAAATGGATGCTCAGTGCTACTCGTGGCTTCGCTCTGGAAAAACCAGGCTGGGTTCCCAGTTCTGATGCATCTGTAATGCAACACAATTACTTTTTTAGTGGGAAACGCAATATAGTAATGCATTACTCTCAAAAGTAACTTTCCCCACCATTGGTCATGCACATTCTGTTTAGAGGGATGGTTAGGCTTCAGAAAATCAATAATGATATGGCTTTGAAAGGATTTTTTGGCCATTAAAATGTATTTTTTTAACTAAAAAAATGTTATTCGGGAATACTGTACTATACTACGTGAAATAACCTTTAAAGAACCATCTTGTTTTGAAGTGTAGCTGTACAAAATCTTACAGAAATGATGAAATCTCAATATTGTGTTACATTTATGTTATTTTGTTCATGTCATCGCAGATTTGTGGGGCCTTCTTGTCTTCTGATTGGGCACACAAGAATTGCGATGAAAAGGGTTTTAAGTTCTTTGGCACAGGAGAGTGCTTTGTTTTCACTGTGAGTAAGCATCCATTTGCCATTCGTTTCAATTGCTTTGTTGTGCTTTAAATTGTACCTGGTGTCACATTGTATGGACCAGAATATGATTTGCGGTGGTCGATAACAGAATAACTGAATTCCTAATTGCAAATACATTTTTCAGCTACGACCAGGAATGGAACGGTACCAGCGTACAGTGCTGCAGATCTCTGGAATGTCTGACAAAAGTGATCAAACTCTCTCCGCTAACTCTCGAATAAACACTCACGTGTACAGACCCAGTGCAGCCTCCCAGGACCAAAGATACAAGTCTTCTTCCTTCTGCACATTGTCAACATTCAAATTCATGGCAGGAGATGATGAGACACTTTTTATTGGTGAGCAGGTGTGAAGGAAAGGTTTCTTTCAGAATACTTATTTCATGTCAGTTATCCCCTATTGTTATAAACAACGTTGCTGCCTCTCAGGCTTCATATTTGCTTACCCCGTGTGCACATTTCACCTGCAAACATCCTGGAACGTTGCCTTTGAGTCAACATTACTGGGGAAAAAAAACAGTGTCTTCCTTAATATAGATGAAATGTTGTGTATACACTCCTTTCCCTTTACTTGCGTTCTATCCTAGGTGGCGATGGTGGCCATGCGCTCCACCTGCAGGCTGATCTGACAGCTGGCTATTCTGAAAGCTGCGATACATTTGAGAGTCCACCACTCTGCAGGACAAGCTTCAAGATCCAGTCTCTAGAAGTGTGGGGTATCCAGCATTCATTGTCTGTTCCACCGCTGTTTTCACACTGAAGACTGTAGGAACACTGTGATAGAATGTGTCTACATCAAAGATCACACCGGCAAAATGACATCATGCTTTGAGACAAAACTATGAACATTAAAGATTTAGTGTAGTGCATTCACAGTGAAGGAATACTGTACATGTGCATTGTTGCGCTACTGCAGTATGAACAGAAATAAATTGTAGATTTCATTTAAGATTCAAATTTATACAATGTTAATTTATTTACATTTTCAGACTTTTTTTATTGTACGCCTTATATTATTTTTCATATTTGTAGTCCTGTCATTCTCTGCATTTCTGGAATTACAAAGACAGTATTCAGCAGTTTGTTGCATTTTAGAAAACATTAAAATCTGCAATGTCGTAATTAAAAAGAACGATTTTACACCAAATAGATGCAACTGAAATTGAATCATGGCTGTAGTAAATAAAGTGGATTTAAAAAGCAATGCTTGCGAGTGGAATAAAATACTGAGGCCTGTAGCACAAAGCCATTACAATGGCTACCCATAATGTATGTTTGAGTTTGAGCAGAAGGTGGATTGTTTTTTATCTGTTCATCACCATGCTAACTTTTAAGCTACATGGCTAACTTTGCTCCAGAACAGGATTTATTCTGGGTAAAACATTGCAAACCAAAACTGAACCAATACGTTTTGTGCAAATCAACATATTTGACACAATGAATGGGGTGGACAACTTTGGCCCACTGTCCTGAAAAGTCTAGCAGCAACCCTAATCAAACACCTGAAAAATGGAACCAAAAGGTTTTTGACTTCAGCTACGGCTGGATTTATAATCTTTTTGTGAACCTATAAATTAAGTAGTAAGTAAAAGGGATGCTCCAATCAATCGGCCACAGGTCGGTATCAGCCAGTAATCACATTCATGGCTGTGTCCGAAATCGTCACCTATACCCTCATTCACTATTCCTGTGATGGCCCAAGCCACACAGGCAACACCGGGTAACAGCCAGCAATGGTAATACCAGCACACATCGGTTAAGTATGCAGGTTAAGTTATTTTTTGCAGTTAGCCACACCCCAAACAATTCATGTTTGACACATTTCATATAGTTTATTTCAATTATAATATACATTTATTTGCTTTAGCCATACACTGTTTAAATGGAGTGCAGACATTTCCACATTATAGGGTTATGTAAACATTTTCTGTTCTGTTAATTATTGTTTCTTTGTTACCATGTTGGAGAGAGGTCTGTCCTGGGGGAAGAAAGACGTGGCCAAACGCAGAGGACTGTGATATCCTGTGCCAATCAAGCCATACCATGTGAGGGCATGTCAGAGGGGGGTTCTGGGTTTTGTTTGTTACTTTGTACTTGTGGTATTTGTCGGCCATTTTGTTTTCCCCTTATGTGTAATGTTGACTTATGTTGATTTGGCCAAACCACTATGTTCCCTTGTGTCTCATTTAGGAAGGTCAGTTTGTTTAGTTCATATCTTGTTTTGTTGTATCCTGTTTTGAGTATACTTATATTTTGTTGACCTCACTTACAGGCCTTGTTGTTAAAGGTGGAATACCTAAGATTTTTGCATTCAAATATCCCATGTGTAACGTTACACTTATAGATAATAATGTTTTCGAATTTTAAAGAAGTGGCGCGACGCGGCGCTGCAGCTTCTCGTCCGGTGTGCGACCCCCTTAACGTTAATTTTGTGAAACTGTAGCTGTGGTTGAATACTTACACGACATGAAAAGATGTGTGAAATGTACATTAAATTGATTTTTTATTTTTATAAAGTTACCAAGGAGGACCAGCCACGTCAACTCCTTGCAAGAGACCTGCCCCTTCAAACCCTCTCCACCATAGCTTCGTCCAGTGACTCGTACAGTAACTAATTTACTTTTAAACCTGACTTTTCTTGCGGTTATTTCAGTTTAATGAAAAACAAGCATGTCATTAAACGCAACGTTTATAGAAATCGAACTTTACCACATCCATGACAACTAATTTTCGAGTCCCGTCTGACTGATTTGTCCACGGTGGAGTTGAAAACAGTTCCCATCATTCCGCGTTCCTCCACGTCGTCATCAAGCAAAGCCGTTGTTGTTGTTTTGAATGTAGCGCCCTCTAGCGGCATCTAAATCTTAGGTATTGCAGCTTTAACTTTTTGGTTTCTATAATTGTTTCATATTTTTTGGGGTAAATAAAACAAAACCCAATTTTTCAACAAAAACTCCTGTTCTCCTCATTGCCGGACTGTTTGGTCCGTAACAATTCTCTACATCTACTTAAAGTAGTGGGTAACACTTTACTGTCGGCGACTCAACGATTTGCAAATCGGGCATAAATCGGGCTTAAAATCCTGTAGTGTGAACTTGGCATTAGTCGTTCGCGGTCAAAACACTGGTATAAACACAGTTTGATGTCGCGATTTTCAATGCCCAGAGCCTGTTAAACTTGAGCCAACCAACCCCGTGACGTCAACTGCACAATGGCGGCGCCCTGGTGGCGAAAGATACAAAGTTTTTTCTTTTTTTCTTCTAAATGTTTACATTTGTAATGTTCCTTATATAATTGTTGATTATATTGGAAATCCATCTTGTAAATCATGTAAACTTGATTCACTGCTTCATTTCCCCTTTAATTTATCATATCACGCAAAACCAAGCAAATTATTCTTTGTTCTAAAATTGTTAATGTTAACAACGTAAGCAAGCATTGCATGACTACATGTAATGTCCATCCGATATGTAGGCTATCCTTCGCATTTTCACATGGGTCCGGTTGCAGTCTCTTTTTTCTGTAGCTACTCCGAAGTCCGACTGTCACTGGTGATTGTCGTTTGAACCTTTCTGGATCCGCCATCAAACTGATAAGTTTAATTATATGAAGTACTGTGAGAAAAATTATAAATCTCCACCTCCAACATCCTCACACGCAATGTAGTCAACTAGCCGAGACTCCTTTATGTGTACAGATGTGATGTAATGACGCAAAGACATGCTCAAATCTCCCATGGAAATCCCCCAGTACCATTGGAATTAAAAAACATTATTAACATTTTAACCCCCAAAAAACCTACAGACCATAGACTGTAAAAAAAAGATGGACGACGCCCCTTCGCTCTATTCCATCAGAGAGAACTGAAGCCGCCAATGTCTCGATATGGCGCTGACATCTTGGAACTTGAGTCGTAGTCGTGAGCAGGTTGTAAAGTCGCGAAATCAAGGCCGCGAAATCAAGGCTGCACCCTCATTCTCGCTGAATCAAACGCAAGCACATGCCCTGCACATTCATTAAGTGGCCTCTGTCTGCTCCGTTTTTCTCCAATGATGTCTGTTGATTGCAGTTCCTTGTAAAAATTAGGTAAATACAACTACAAACCACATAGTCAACATTATTATAAAAAGTCTGTTGGTGCTTTAGTGACTATTTCGCAGAGAACCTGTCAATCACAGGTGTCAATCATGATGTCACAGCACCGTTTTTATTAGCCTGGATGCCAGCCCGAACTCCGCCCACAACATTTTTTGGTCGGGAAGTTCGGTCTGGACTCGATCCATTGAGGAGAAATTATGATCAGGCAAAATATGAACGGGCCAATCAAATTGCCAGGGCGGGCGTTATACGATGATGGACAGATGATCTGCAAGGACGTAATCATCACGTTATCAAAGAGCGCTTAACTGGTTTCCCTCAGAGATGACTAGGGTTGGGTATCGTTTGAATTTGAACGATCGATCACCAGGTGCAGTGCCCTTGAGAGTCACCAGAGGGCACTCCACACGTTCATGTTTCATTCACAATTACATTTCTCAGAACTCACTGCCTGGACTCATCACTGATCACATTCACCTGTACCTCATTCACTGATTGCATTCACCTGTGTCTCATCCTGTTAGTCTGTCTATATATCAGTCGTTCCAGAAAAACGCAGAGTTTTTTTGTGATTGTTGCGGGCAAAAATCCTTGATTACGCGGCCCGTTTTCTTTAAAAAAAAATGATGGAATATGCGGGATATTTCTGCAATTTTATGCGATGAAATTGCGGGAACTTGCAAAAATTGCGGGAACTTGCAAAACTGCGGTTCGATGAAAAAGAGAAAAAAAGTGATTCCCCCAACACCCCAGGCGTTTCTCAATGTCAAGGAAGGATCCTCGGAAGCCGTTATTTCAAGGATGCTACGTCATCAACATCCGTCGAAGGACTGTTCCAATGTCGAGGATCCTTAGAATTTCAACCAAGGACTGAGTCCTTCGTTCGAAAAATATCACATACACAGGAAAGGATGCATATGTGTACACTTCGCGCTCTTAATCACCCACAATCCTATGCGCGCCTTGTTCAAATAATTTAGAAAAAAATGGCGGACGTTAGCGGAGTAGGAGGAATAACGGGGCAATATGCTTTCAAGTGTAAGTATATTTACATTTCCATACATTTGTTATAACCGTGGTACATATAAGTAAAGTTTAACTTTTAAATGCCAGTTCAAATTACTACCGAATTGATATTATAAATTACTTTACTGACGGTTAACTGAAAAAATTGTTAGCTTGGTTGGCGCCTCCGGCAGGCATTTATTTCATAAATAACTAGTAAAGTTGTACAAAGTAATTTAACGTTATTATACCGTTCACAGCGTTATTCATAGATTTCTCGTGTTTTTTAACAGGGACCAAGGAACAAACGGAGGCGTTTATTCGTCTCCGTATTGAAAACAAGCAGCTGTTTACTGGGGGGAGAGACACCGCGGCGAACGGATATCGGTGAGAAGGTAATTATTTAATGTTCATAAATGATAGCTGTGTAATCTTCTTTTTTATCCCCCCCCCCCCCCCCCCCCCCCCGTCATTCATATAGGCTTATTTTGGAGAAGATGGGGCTCGAAGGGAGGGTTTCCCACGCCCAGGCTAAAAAGAAGTGGGACAATTTAAAAACGAAGTACAAGGTGGGAGACAAGTATGGAAACAATTGTCTATGCACATTTTAATGTAACTTGTGATTTTTTTTTTTTTTTAAGTAATCCTTGAATGTTAACCTGACAGACTTTGGCCTGCTTCCAGTAAGTATTTTTTTTTTTTTTTTTATTTGTGCTTTGGCAGATACAGGCTTTAACAGTTTGTGGCCTGAGAGCCTATCGTGATCTGCAGCTACTCAGAACTAAGAATGTGTAATAAGTGGCAATAAGCATCAAGATATCACAGTTTTTTGCTAAGGAGATGTTTGTTTATTCTCTTCTTGAAGGCCTGAATATTCTTTGAGGTGATTTCACCTACTACGGTAGAGGGGAGGCAGTTCCAAGTTGTTACAGCTGAATGAAGAAAGCTCCTTCCCAAGCATTTTGTGTTAGACTTGGGTAATTTTAGTGCGTGACTTGCTCGTGCTCTTCGAGTGGTTCGGCAGACGAGATCTGGTGGGGGTAGCAGAGCTTTGAGATCCTCTGGACAGTTTTTAGTGTGCATTTTGAAAAGCACAGTTGTTGCTGCAACAGTTCTCCGATGGTTGAGCTGACTGATTGCATATTTCCTTAGGGCAGTGTCCTCATCCACCCCAATGATTTTCAGTGCTTTTTTCTGGATGTTGTCAATCTGCCTGAGGGTGGTCTGTGATGCGTTCATCCAGGCAAGGCAAGAGTACTCCAAGGTACTCCTGACTTGTGCCTTGTAGACATTGGCCCTACCTTTGACATCAAGCTTGTTGGCCAGCCTGCGCAGAGCCCCAAGACACTGTCCAGCACGCTTAGAGATGTTTGACAGGTGATTATTCCATATCAACTTATTATCGAAACATAGTCCCAGAATATTCAACTGCTCAAAGAGGTCTATTCTGGTTGTCCCAAAGAACAGGTCCGGACGGGATGGAGGCCTCTTTCTCGACAGAACCTGATAGCCTTGCATTTGCTGGGTTCGAACGTGACCTTCCAAGTATCTGCCCACCTGCGAATATTCTCCAGATCTTCATTTAAGGATGCTGCCACATTGGGACCATTAAGTGCTGTTACAGGGGCATAAATGGTGGAATCATCCGCATACAGAAAAATGCTGTTATTGTATAATGTATAATATTGTATTGTATAATAATAAGTATAGATGCAGTGCAGTGGTGTACAATATTACTAATAGTTACACTACCGTTCAAAAGTTTAGAATCAGTAAGAATATTATTTTTATTGTTTAGAGGAAAGAAATCAATACTTATATTTATCAAATAATAATTAATTTGATCGAAAGTGACAGTAAAGACATTTATAATGTTACAAAAAATTCTATTTCAAACAAAATGCTGTTATTTTTAACTTCCTAGTAATCAAAGTGTCCTGAAAAAAACTATAACTGACAGACCAACAATTCTTTTCAACATTGATTATAATAATAAATGTTTCTTGAGCATCAAATTCTCATATTGTACAGATTTGTTAAAGATTATGTGACACTGAAGACTGGAGTAATGATGATGAAAGCTTTGATCACAGGAATGAATTACACTTCACTATATATTAATGGAGAACAGCTGATTTACACTGAAATAATATTTAATACTATAACAGGTTTTGTTGTATTTTTTATCAAATAAGCGCAGCCATGGATAGCAGAGAGAATTCTTTTAAAAGTATTTAAAATAATACTGACACCAAATTTTTGAATGGTAGTGTACATCATCACAACTTTTTGATCTTTACTGTTTAGGAATGTAAGTGTCCTGCCACAGGTCAGGGGACAGAGGATGGCAAGGCGACGGCAGCAAATTGGCCCTGGTTTGCCCTCATGGACGAGGTATTAGGGCAGACTGCAGCAGTCTCGCCCCCTTGCCTTATTGCCTCGATCCAAGTGGAAAAACCAGGGCCAAGCACTGCACAAGAGGTAGATAAAGGGAGAGACGAGGATGAGGATGAGGAGAGAGTGAGAGACAGCAGCAAAGAGAGAGCAGGGCACAAACAAAAGAAAAGAAGGGAGCGAGAGGATCCATTCCTACAACTTCTACAGGAGGATATTAAATGCCAGAGGGAGGCAGATGAGAGGAGGGAAGCAGAGGCCAGAGAGAGGTCTAACCGCTTTTTTTTTTGCTGTTGGAGAAGTTGGTGGAAAAATAAAGTCAAATAAATTGAAATGATTTTTGTCTTTGCCCCTTAATTATTTAATTAAGTTAATCTTAGTATATCTATTTTCTGAAAACCTTGTTCTTTAGACTGCAATGGAAAAACAAAAAAACTTGGTAACAAATAACTAGCATGTGAAGCCTAAAACTATGTATTTAACAATATTTTCACCCTTATTTATGTTTTGTGATTAGGTATTCTAAGCTCAACAAAAAAAAACATTAATTTCATCTGTTACATACATTTTTATTAACATTTCTATATCGAGAACAATATACACGAAGCAGCAAATTCATTTGAACAACATGTTCATATCTACAACTATATACAACAATTTAAACATTTACATCTATATACAAAAGTAATCATGATCAAGAGGTGCCTCGTGGAGAGAAGACACCTCGTTGGTCAACGCAGCCCGCCAAGCAGCTCCACTCCGGCTCTCCCCTCCATCAAGCTCCACGGGTGGCAGGTTGTCGTCCTCCTCCTCCACAACCTCTTCCAGCACATCCCCGACACCAACACAAATGTTGTGCAGGATCACACATGCCGTCACCACCTGTGCACAAGACAGAGCAAAAGGATACAAGATTGTCGAGATGGAAAAAAAACCATGAACATAGAAGATAGTGTGACTAGTAGGTGTTAAGCATTAACTGTTATTTTGAGTAGGACTTGATTAAGAAATTCACTAAAGAAATATTGCAATGACTTATTATTACCTTAGGGACAAACAGTGTATGTACTTCAAGTGCTTCTAAAAAGATGCACCTGAAGCGGGTTTTCATCATTCCAAATGCACGCTCAATGATTGTGCGACCTTTGGAATGATGGTAGTTAAACCTTTGCTCTGCCATGCCTCTCACTGGCCTCTTATATGGTGTGATAATAGCCACCATCAGCTAGGAGAAAATACCCAGGTGGAGGGTAAGTCCCCCTAGTGTAGATGGGGCTGTTCTTGAGAATACGTGCATCATGCACACTTCCTGGGTAACCCACAAAGATGTCAATAAAGCGACCCTGATGGTCACAGACTGCCTGGAGCACCACTGAAGGGAAGAGCTTTCGGTTGTTGTAATCATGACCATCAGGGCCGCCGGGACATTTTATCCGTATGTGGCAGCCGTCCACTGCCCCTGCTGCCTTGCCGAATGCTTGGTGATTAGCCAAGCGAGCAAAGCCATCACCAACCACTTGGAGCTCCTCCTGTGTGCGGGGGAAGTGCACAAACTGGGGGAGCACAGCTACCAACTCATCCACCATCCTGTGGACAACTCTGTGCACGGTTGGAAGAGGCATGCTAAAGACCCTGGAGACAACTCTGTAGGCTGAACCTGTTGCCAGCCAGAACAGGAACACGAGTGTCTCCAGGGTCGGGCCCCATCCATGCTGCCTGTCAGTCTTCAGGGCCACCATCAGCTGCTGCATGGCCTCTCTGCTCAGCCTGAAGTCTGGTCGAGTGTCCTCCCCTGCATAGTACCGCTGCAGTACTGGCACAGTGGCATTTATGGAACAGTAGTGCCGAGCCTGTACAACATGAAGAAGAGAGGAAGGTTTAAGTATGATTTCTTTTTTGCCATTTATTTAATGTTGGTTAAACTATTAAATATATTGGCTCAAGTGATTTGCAGAGGGGGGATGTAAAGCTGCTTCCTTTAACTTGTGATTCACCTTGTAATTTTTACTTCATATAGCTTTTTTGTTGGTCACACATTTTACCACTGCATATGTTTTAACAGCTAGAATGATGCTGTTCACTTAAGTTAATATAATCGTTTTTAAATCAATAAACTCCATTTGACACATAATTTAAAAAAAGGGTTTATTGATTTAAATCAATACATTTGATTTATTGGTACACATGATCCATTATTATAATTAAATAATAAGTGTATTTAAACAGTGCATGTCAATTTGACCCATATTTTACCATTGAGTGTGTTTTAACAGCTAGAATGTTGCTATGGGCACAGTTCTGGCAATATAAAAGTTTTTAAATCAATATTTTGTCAAATTATTGATTTATTTGGTAGGTAGCCATGTAATAGGTGGATAATGTAATAGCGAGGTGGTTGTTAGAGCGAATACAACCCCTTCAGGCTGAAGACTCGCGGCGGGATTGTTTTCGCTATAACAACCGCCTCGCCATACATTATTACTTACTTAATTACTTTATTTATTTCTATGAGGGTTGACAAGAAAAAATAAGCACTGTCAAGTGTATTTAAACATTGCGGGTCAATTTGGACCCATAGCATATGAATGTAACGGTTAATTATTTTTTTAATTAATGATAGGGGAGTTATCGCTACTTACCATCCCACGTCTTTGACGGCAGAGGTGGCGACAAATTAAATTTCTTCTCCTGCGAGCCTGACGCCGATACCAAGTCATCTTTAACTCCATCTCCATATCAGCAAAAATGCTGTACAGCAACCACATCAGCACTACCTTCTCCATTTTTTTGCCGTGCTGAAAGTGGAGTAGCGGGCTTAGCCTTTTTCACAGACGTAATGACGCAACGACGTGCACTTGCTAGCCTGTTCCATTAGCGTGTTCTCCGAATACTACAGAGGAGCCTCGCCTAGCCTCTGAAGGAAATGACTTGGAAGGACCCGTCCTGCCAAGGAAGGATCCTTGACATTGAGAAACACCTCCTGTTCTCACTAGGCTACTACCTTAATGTAAAAGTAATTTCTTATTACTTCCTTTGATAAGCAAGCATACTACATCATAGAAAGTGCTGGGAATATTTAATTTCTCATCTTGTTTTATTTCAGACTATAATGAGAGTAAATTAGGTGTGGCCCGGCCCTTTAAGAACTGCGCGCTCCCTGTTGAACTGTGTGAGCCTCGAACACCCCATGTGTGCGGGCAATTTCTGTTTGATGCTACTTCTTTTATCTTATGTTGTTTATTAAATAACGAGTGACGTTTATTAAGTGACGGTAGAACGTGTAACAGACAGTTATCCCAGTTCGATTTGTGAGATGTCAATCGCCTCCGTGAGTCTGTCTGGCCTCTGCAATAACTTCAGCTGTGAGCTATCCCGTCGCGTAATTGCGTCACTTCATAACGTTTCCATGGAAACAGGGGGAAATGGTTGCTCTTGTGTGAAGCAAACGCAACATTTTTTAAGATATATGCGACTTTTTTGCAACGAAAATGCGAGGATTGTGAAATCATGCAAACCCCGCATATTTTGCACGGAAATCTGCAATTTATGTGGCGAAAGTGTGGCATATTTAAAAAAAATGCGGCCCCCGCATAAATATGCGGACTTTGGCTGATTTTGCAATGAATTCAGCGATCGCATAATCGCGTTTTTCTGGAGGGACTGATATATACCTGGTTTTCACATTCACTGATTGAGAAGTCTTGTTGTACTGTGTGCCTGCATTTCAGAGTGGTTTCCCGTGTTTGTTTTTCTGTTTTTTTACTTTGTATTGTCCTTGGACTCTGATTATTGCTGCCTGCCCTGACCTCTGCCTGTTTCTTGGATTCCCTTTGTTTATTCTCCATTGTCCTGTCTGCCGATTCTCGACCCTGCCTGTACGATTATTCTTAATGAAGCTGCATTTGGATCTACATCTCCCAGTCTCGGAGCAGTTCATAACAGAAGACTTCGCCATACAAAGATCCAGCAGTTACCAAAATGACCAGCAGGAATCCTGTAGCACGGATTATGTGTCTCCGTCAGGGAGATCGGCCCATTGAGAAGTATGTGGAAGAGTTTATTGATCTAGCATATCTCACCTCAATGAACACAGAATGCCTTATGATCTTTTTTTGGGGAGGACTATCTGAACCGCTCAGTTCATTCATGCCCTTGCATGACCCTCACAGGACTTTAGAGCGCTACATTGACCTGGCCCTTTGACCTCCGTGAGCTTACCATATCCTCTCAGCCAAAGCTTCACGTCAGCCACGTCCAGTCAGAGCTCACGTCAGACCTGCCGATTCAAAGACTGTTCACGTCACTGCCTCCGAGCCAGTGTCTAACGACAAGATGGCCGCCTCCGAGCCAGTGTCTAAAGACAAGATGGCCGCCTCCGAGCCAGTGTCTAAAGACAAGATGGCCGCCTCCGAGCCAGTGTCTAAAGACAAGATGGCTGCCTCCGAGCCAGTGTCTATGGACAAGATGGCCGATTCAGAGACTTTTCACGTTACTTCTGCCAATCCAGAGACTGTTCACGTCACTGCCTCCAAGCCAGTGTCTCCGGACAAGATGGCAGACCCAGTGTCTCCGGACAAGATGGCCGATCCACAGTGTCTCCGGACAAGATGGCTGATCCAATGTCTGCTGATCCAGTGTTTGTTTCTGTGTTTGTGTCTGTCCTTGTGACCTTTTCTGTTCTAGTGTCTGTTCCTGAGCCGGTGTCTGTTCCTGAGCCGGTGTCTGGTCCCGAGTCGGTGTCTGGTCCTGAGAGGGCATCACCGCTGTGGCCGCCCGAGGGGTCTTCACCGCCGTGGCCGCCCGAGGCGTCTTCACCGCCGTTGCTGACCACTCAGTCTGCTCCTCCCTGGTCGCCCCCACAGCCTGCTCCGCCCTGGTCTCCTGAGGGGTCGTTTCTGCCCTGGCCATCCATTCTGCCGCAGTCTGCAGGTCCTTTTCTGCTCCACGGATCTGGCCCTCTATCCCTCCCCCGGATCCGCCTCCGCTCCACCTCCCTCCTGTTTTTTGGGGTGGGGCTATGTAACGGTCACCAGGTGAAGTGCCCTTGAGAGTCACCAGAGGGCACTCCACACCAGATGTTCATGTTTCATTCACAACTACATTTCCCAGAACTCACTGCCTGGGCTCATCACTGATCACATTCACCTGTACCTCATTCACTGATTGCATTCAGCTGTGTCTCATCCTGCTAGTCTGTCTATATATACCTGGTTTTCACATTCACTGATTGCGAAGTCTTGTTGTACTGTGTGTCTGCATTTCCGACCGTTTTCCCGTGTTTGTTTTTCTGTTTTTTGACTTTAGATTGTTCTTGAATTATTGCTGCCTGCTCTGACCTCTGCCTGTTTCTTGGATTCCCTTTGTTTATTCTCCATTGTCCTGTCTGCCGATTCTCGACCCTACCTGTACGACTATTCTTAATAAAGCTGCATTTGGATCTACATCTCCCAGTCTCGGAGCAGTTCATAACAATTGCGTACATATGAAAACACACACACACACACACAGACACACACACACACACACACACACACATATATATATATATAAAAAACAAAAATAAAATATTTCCATAACACAAACTATAATTTCCCATACAGTAACACCAAGTCCTAACGACATGCGGAGCGACACGTGATAAAAGGTATCTTTTCCATATTAATCAGAGTTTTTGTCCTAACCAGACGCGACACGCGAAATTTCTAATTTAAGGCCCGTACACACCGGGACCAATATCCGCGCGCGTTATTCGTCAACGTTTTTCAACACGTTTTTTGTGTTCACACCCAAGCGTTAATTGATGACGATGAGCCGAGTGAACATGCAAATTCATTCCCTGACATTAGATGGCGCTTAAAGGTGCATTGCGCAACATTTCATGTTAAAAATAGCCGTTTTCTATCCCATACATGCTTAAACAATCGCCTGATGGGCTGAATGAGCCCTTCTCTGATCACTGAGATCACCTCTATAATCCTGTACAGTAAAATAAATAAGAGGGATTCGGGCTCGAATCTGAGACTGGCCGTGACGTCATGCGCGTTCACGCTCGCCTGGCTATGTGCCTATGTCTTGCAGGTAGTGTATTCGCCGCCATTCTCCGTATCAGAGAAGACAACTCGAGCGACACAACTTTAGTCAACTTTCCACAAAAGTAGAAGATGGATTCAAAGGAGCTGTTTAGCCTACACCTGGTCACTTCATGCGTTTTCTGTGATCGGATAGCTATTCGATCGTGAAAAGACCAGGTTGCCCTCCGAAACACATTCGAGACGGATTTGAATCCGATCGCTCAAATCACTTGAGGACGTGGTCTGGGCCGTATTCCAGACAAAACTGGACAAGTGTAAATGCATCTGGTTGTTGAAAGCAGGCGAGAGGTTATGTCATGTTATTTTAGTCATATATGACGACACGCATCACCTCAGATGAGCAGCTGAGCGCCTATTCATCAAGCCAGCGCGCCGCAATCTATCGCAAATCAAAGTGAAAGTAATTTGCAGACTCTTAACACTACCATCTTCATTAAAAGTAAAGAAATGAACTGATCTTTACCAGGGCTGTTGCCGCTCTCTCTTTTTGCTCTCTTTTTCGATGATTAATAAAATGCAGCTCATATCTGTTGCTTTCGGTACCCGTGCACTTCATGAATTCTGTAGCCTATATAGCGGGGGAATTGAAGATCAGATTATATCCGTTTTGAGAAAACGCATTGTCGCCAGGTGTAAACAGCTCCAAAGAGACCGGCTTGTAGTTCATTCCAAACCCCAACGCAAACTCCACGTGAGACAAAGAAAATACTTCTGTCTGTCCAGTGCCAGTCGTCGGAATAAGACGAGAGTCAACATCAGGAAGGTTTTCAAAAAACGGAGAGATCTCTGGGCGGTCTGCTCTAGGGCTCAAACAGGTCCTATACAAAGTAATAACTTAGATTGTTCATGAACGTGTTTCCATAATTATACAATCATACATGGATACAGTAAGCACATAAAACAGTTCAATATGGAGATAGATGGAAACAAAAAACGAAGTTTTCTACTACCCCCTACATAAGTGTGTACTCGAATGCCTTTCCTTTCATATATTTTAAATGACCTGCAGATTTATAACTGTATTACCTCATTATGACTGTAACTAAAGATGTGTGCCGCACAGTGTGTGGCTGATGCTCCTTTGGTTATGAACAGCTCGTGCAAAAGCGCAGTTTCGCTTGTCGCCAGAGGGGGCGTAGTTCTGCAAAAACTCAGATACTTGCGTTTTGCTCCTTTAATGTAAAAATAGAAATAATAATAAAATACTATACTAGGGTGATCATATTCATGTCTCAACATGTTTTATTGTGACAGATTAAAAAAATAATGAATGAAATATTGATAGAAATAATGTCTTCTGTATTAGAAAAATAAATATATAAATAATAAATAACTAAAAGAAATGCCTCCAAATGTAACACAAAATAGCTCTCACAAACTTACAAAAACGAACAAATAAAATCTATTTATATCTTTAGTTTTCATTCTCTTTATCCTGTTTTTCTTCCTCATCCACCTTGTTTGCCCATCTATATTTTGCTGTAGAACTGGTCTTTCCCAGCAGTTTTTTTGAAAACCAGGACATTTTCATCACTTAAAAACAGCCAGGACAGGACGTGGAAACAAGACATGTGTAACGCAAAGTAGAGAGGTTGCCCAGAGATAAAAACATAGCACTAGTTGTCAGATGAACAGACACACGAGAGTTGTCGTATTTCCCCGCGTTTAATAAAACCACTAAAACGTTACAC